TTCAGAGGTAAAGACCTGAGTTGCGGGTTCATCCTCAGTTGGGAGGTTCCCTTCGATTGTGTTACTTGGATTAGAACGTGTTGACTGTTTGTGCATGAGGACTGTCTTTGCTCGTGTTGTTGAATATTGAGCGTAGCGTAGCAGCATCAGGATTGAACGTATTCGAAAGACAGCTTACCGGACTTTGTGAGCCACCCTATAGGCGGGGAAGACCTTCCTCACATATGCCCAATCAGCGTACCTATCGAGTTCCTCCGTCTCTCTGTCCAGCCGAGTTACTTGCATCTGCGAGTGATTCCGCTGTGATCTTGGACAACATACAGTCAAGGACGTCTTACTTGAGAGAGTCGCGTTGCTCTCCTAGGTTTAATGGGGAATGATTCTCATGAGAGATCCAACGTTTAATCTCACCCTCCCTCTTGTAGTAGCCCTACGCCGGACGCCCGTTACAGAGCTCAGCTTCTTGTGTGCGCTTCCGTGTGCTTCCGTGTGCGGCCGTCTGTTCCCCGGCTAGTCATGGACGTACAAGCCGGCCAATCAACTCCACGGCCGACTCGGGCGTGCGCTCACTCAAGACGCTTTGTCGCATTCCCTACTGACTCGAGACGCCGCTCTCCCGACGCCAGACGTGCCCTCATTCGGCTGCGAACTCCAACCGTTTTGGAGCTTTTGTCTCCGATGATGGATTGGGGAAGGAATCCAAAACGTCAGGCTAGTAAAGCTCTTGTCCCGGCGATCGTATCTTCTTCTTCTTCTTCTTCTTCTTCTTCTTCGAGACTGCTTCCTGGGGCTCGTCTCTTCGCTTCTATTCCCAACCGTTTTTCCAGTCATTCTCTACAGAATACACTGTTCTTGCAACTGGCGTCCAATTCTTTTACTTTCTGTTTGGAACCGGACCTGATTATCGCAGTGGCTAGGGTCTCTCTATCGCTTAGGCTGCAGCGCGGCGGCAGGGCTCTATTGCGCTGTCCGGGTTTGTCGACGTGTTATTACCTTCGTACTGCGCTTGATTTCAGTAGGCGGTTAACAATGACAATAGAAGCGAAGAGACAAGTCCCAGGAAGTAGTCTTGAAGAAGAAGACACGATCGGTGGGACAAGAGCTTTATATTAGCCTGACGTTTCGGATTCCTGCCCGAATCCATCATCAGAGACAACGGCAGATACGGGTGACTCACGCACAAGGGGCTGCAGTATTTATAGGATGGAGTCGCCATGCTACCGCATACCTATGAACATTCACGGCTCCCCCTTTACGGCTAGAAACGTCTGGAGTCGTTTATCGGATCTGGTGCAGTTGCGAGCAAAGCGAATACGTCGGAGAAACCGGAGGACAGCTCCGAACGAGAATGGCCGAACACGCTACAGCGGTGCGGAGAAATGACGCCAGCTGTCAAGTTGTGGCTCATTCGACGAGATCCGGCCACACATTCAAATTCGACGAAGCCAAAATTCTCGCAAGAGGTGACAACCGCGTGGGCCGGGAGCTAGTGGAATCGTGGTTTACTGGTCCCCAGTCAATTAACAAGTGCAATGAACTTCCCCTTCCATATTCGGTGCTGAGGCTTCGCCTAGGCGGAGTAATTAGCCACGCGGAGAGCGCACATGTGAACACTTGTCCCAACAACAGGATCGGTATGTCAGATCGTCGAGCCATCATCACACCAACATCCAACGCACGCGATGAAATTGCCGCAATTAACGACGCGAATGTCGGCCATCAAACAATTAGCACACCAAGTGCGATGATCTCGGATGAAAGGGGGAGCTGTGAATGTTCATAGGTACGCGGCAGCATGGCGACTGCGTTCTATAAGTACTGCAGTCCCTTGTGCATGAAACACCCGTATCTGCTGTTGTCTCTGATGATGGATTCGAGCAGGAATGCGAAATGTCAGGCTAATAAACCTTTTGTCCTAGCGATCGTGTCTCCTTCTTCAAGGTCAACAATGAGTTATTTTAGTTCCCGACCAACTTTTTGTAGGTTGCGGTTAGGTTTAGAGTAACATCAATGGCTTCCCTTTAGATTTCTAGGGGCAGCTTTAGGTTTAGGGTTACCTTTAGGGTTAGTAGGTCCACTTTCAGGATTGACATAAGGGCTCTGTTGAGGCTTACCTTTAGGGTAACGGGTAGGTTAGGATTGTTTTTGCGGGCTTGGTGGACTTTTTAGGGGGAGTTAGTGTTAGGCTCCGGAAAGAGTTTGGGTTTAGGGTTAATTTTAGGTGCGAGAATAGGGTTTGGGCTGCTGTCCGACACGGCTGCTGTAGAGCACACGGTGGACATCGTCAGTCCCACTGAACTGCCATACGAAACAACTGACCAAACCTACGACATTTTTTCAGAAGCGGTATGATGCCTGATATAATAATATTCTGGTCGCTTTGATACCTTCAACTGTAAGTTTCATGCTATCTATCCACGGCCATCTTTTTCAAATGCCAGTCCTGGTAACCACGATTACCCATCCGGGAGACAAGAATGAAAGATGCGATCAGTTCTGGGCAACCAGCAACTAGCAGGCATCCAAATTGATCAGTCTGCAGTTAGCTCAACCCATCGCCGAAACCAGAGTTCCCCAAGATCCCCCGAAAGCTAAATTTTTGCGATCCAAAAAAAACTACCAAGCACCTGGGCCTCCTATTCGACTGAATACTTTTTCCAGCCTATCCACCAATCACTCGGTAGAGTCTAATCTTTTATCTACCGGCCTCCAACTTCACCTCCTTCTATTCGAAACTGGGTCTGAAATTGGTGGCTGTTGTCTGACTCTGAGCCAAACTGCAGCCAGTTAAGTGACCCCGGCGTGTGTGAAACGAAACTGCTAGAAGTGGCTAAGCCTGACAGTCACAAACCTCCTGCCCGAATGCGTCCCAGTCTTTTCCCTGTGAGGCCTACCTTGTCCGTGGATAGAACCACGTGGTTGCTGACACCCTGCCACAAGTCGGTCTGACTGTCATAAAATGACTTCGGCCAATCAAGTTCACGCTTTGTTTCGGACCCGATGCATGCCTATCAGTGTCGGCACCCGTACAACCTTCCCAACACCAGCCGTATCTGCCCGCTCAAACCACCTAATTGCAACACGGCATATGGATTCACTGTCGACTTTCCAGCTTTCCCAAGCCGTCACTACTGCGCCGACTCCTTTCTGTGGACCGCAGCCGCCCTTGCTGCCAATAACACTACTGCTGAGACGTTCATCTGCAATGTGGTTGAAATAATCTGCCTGAGGACCGGGTCGTTCGTGTGGTACGCGTGGGCGGGTTGTTTGGCTTTGCCAGTTATCGCGCACACGCCAACCACCGGTCGTTTTGGCATTGCCCTGGAGCAGGGCGGGTGGGGGAAGACAGAGTGCCGTAGACGCTGCGCAAGTCTGTTTCACCATAATTCACGCGAAGCCGCAGGTTTCGCGCTCACTTCGCAGGGCACGCGGCGGATATGGTCGCATGTCACGGCCGAATTGTTACCCTGACCGCTGCGAAGCAGAAAGTCCCTCTCGAAACCTTCGTAAATCTTTGAGCTCCTGGGGTGTTTTCCACAAATACCGGTAACATTATGGGCAGCGCGTGGGGCAGTTGACTGCAGGTTGGATATTACGACTATTTAGCTCAAGGATAAGGTCAGTACGTCGAGACTCCCGGTGGGAACATCACCGATTGCCCACTCAATAAAGAACGTCATTTGCCAACTGACAACGCCCAGTTTGGAGTTCACTACCTCCAGCAGTTTTCATGGGTCACTATATTGGTAATAGATAGTCACTGTAAAGGTCACAGATTTTCTCGTGTACCTCTACATTCCCTGCATTCTTTTCGTACTTAACAAACAATATGCTATTTTGTCGTTTCCCGTGAACATGGCAACGAGTAGAATTGCGGATCCCGGGCTCGAACACTCAAAGGGTGGGGATGACTCCGTCGGAGGGACTAAACTGAAGGTCACGTTTTCCTTACTAACCTTTTCGCACAAGGAAGGCTTTACTGTGACCTTAGAAGTCCTCCCACTTTCCGAAATGCAACTTATTTAACTCTCCTTGTAATTCTGAAGTGTTAGCAGACGGATCTTGCATGCGTGGAGAAATGGTACGCCTAGAAAATAAGGTTGCACAAGTTTTGGATTCTTGCTTTCACCCGTCACAATACGACGGCCACGGTCAATTAGCTGGGGTCGGGATGTACGACCTCCAGTAGAAGTCGACCTCGGATTTCAACATGGTGGTGCAGTCTGACAAACGGAGCTTCATAAAATATCGCCGAAACATGCGTGTGCGTACAGATAGAAATAAGTCAAACAACCAAATCCGCGGTAATCTACTTGGACTAAGTATGAGCAGACGAGCTGACATAACGGGTTTCGACTCAATCCGCAGGTGCAGAGGAGAGGACTTTAGAATGCGACACTTAAAAGCATCTTCGACGGCATCACTACAGCCAAAGTTGGATTAGAAGGCAGAGGATCGAGTCGGTTCACTCTTTGAAACATCCCTCAGTTGATGAGATTAAGCATCCCTAGGCTGGTCTTATGTCTAAATATAGATTTCGTCCGGGAGGACTTATTATAGCCTCGATGCATTGCTGGCGCCTCGGAAAGAGCAACGCGGTCCCATCTTCCTTTACCCCCCAGAAAACCGAATCCGCAAAATTTAATTTTGACTGGTTGTCATGGCGAAAGACGAAATCAGACGCACGATGTTAAGAAGGCAGTTCGATAAAGACGTTGACATTAAAAGCCCCGAATTTGAAGATTTCCCAACTGTGCAAGCATAGCCCTGCTTGCTGAAATGATCTCTCCAAGTGCATGCAAAACTTCATCAGAATGGCGTTAAGGCGACCACACACTTGTTTATAATAGAATTATCATTGACGACATGGGCGCGTTCTTTAGATGCATGTAAACACAGGCGTATTTCGTTAGTAGAAATCGCATGACAGACGCAGACGCAGAATCCAAACAGACGTTAAACAGCGTGAGAAGCCAGAATCGACGATGGCAGTCCTTCCTCTAGTATTCATCGTTGAAAGGGTACTCCGGATGAGGTTTCATTCTAGAAAATTGATGAAAAAAGAGATTGGGTGAGTGAGAGAGGGAGAGAGGGGGGAAAATGCATTCGATTAGATCCACCACAAAAACTTACGACAGCACAGTGAAGAGTCTGCACTGTCTTCCACTGGTGTTGAGAGTTTTCATCTCTTGATCGGTCAGTTCAAAGTCAAAGACCTGCAATGTCCAGGTAAGAATAGTTGAAAAATCTAGAGAGATTGGAAGGGTAAGATTGGAAGAAAGGATGTCATTAAGAGAGTTCAGGGGGTTTGACTGTTTCGGTACTGAAGCACTGTTCTCCCGGGATAAATTTGAACAAGACAAAGGCGACGAAACATGCAGGAGTTAGTGACGTCACAGCATATTGTGACCTCTTCAACTGCATACGGTGATCACTGTTCAATCAGAGGGATAAAACCTGATAGGTAGATACAACATAAACTGTTGGTCTGAAATACGGGTGCGTATAATGGGAAGGGGGAGGGAACTCATCTAAGCGTGCGAGTTCAGATTACAGTAAAAACCTGCTCATGTCAAATCTCGAGCGGAAATTCGCTTAAAACTTACAGCGAAGCGCGTTCTATAGGCGATGAGTGGATGGCATTTTCGCCGTAGTCAAAAACCCAAGCGATGGAGAATTACCACTTAAGGCTGTGAACAAAGCACATGCAAAAATCGAATTTACGATAGAGCATGAGGAGGACAACACGCTGTCTTTCTTAGACGTTCTTGTACGTAGGCGGGTAGATAGTTTCATTCAGAGATCAATCTATCGAAGAACCACCCGGAAAGGATAGTATACGCACCCCCTCAGTTTCGTTCCAATTCGGAGAATGGAGCCACTAAAACCTGTGCCTCAGATACGATCGATGAAAAATTCAGATTCCTAAGGAACGTTTGTCTTGGAAACGGGTATCCGGAGAAATTCATCCATAAGTATCGCCATCCCAGATAAGGAAGTCCCGCGGAAATATCCGTGCCAAAAGCCGATGAGAGTCTACCTCCATTTCAATGGTGATAGTGTCCAGTGTATTCAGTGACATCAAGCAACGAGTCCGATGTGCGATTGAACGGACGTATACCGCCTCTAAATTGTTGTTCATAAGCACTACAACAGCTATTCCAGTTAGACCAGCTAAAGACATTCTGCCTATGCACGCCGCATCAAACTGTATTTATGAGTTCACATGTAGTTGCGGATGCAAGTACATTGGGCACACGCAAGGGCAGTTGGCAGCTCGGTCAGCTGAAGACATACCGAAGTTGCTACTTAAGGCGGAAAATAAGGTACCAAGGAGCTCAATTACGAAACACCTAGTGAACACGGGCCATACGGCGGACCCAATGACCGCATTTAAGGTCTTACTTCGGGCGACGACTGGGCGTATCCTGCGCTTTACCGGGGCCGCTGCAATACGGAGGGGAAAACCAGACCTCTGTAAGCTGCCGGATCACGTGACCAACCTCGCGCTGCCATAGTAAGGATCCATAATTGACTGGTTACTGTCCCGCGGGCTGCAGTTTCAATCACGATCGACAGGTTTTCACTGTAATCCAAACTCACTGGCTTAGATGGCTTTCTCCCCCCTTCCCTCTCGTCATGCTCACTCCTATATCAGACCAACAGTATGTTCTACTTACCTATCAGGTTTCGTTCCTCTTAGTCGATTTCTGATTGGACAGTTTACCTTATAAATATGCAATGACCGTACGCAGTTGAATAAGAGGTCACAAATCGATGGCCGAACTGTCACCTTGTTTCGGTATTCTAACATGGTTGTTTGTCCCCAAGTACTGTACTGGAGCTGTGCGACAGTCATTCAACATCACACCGATTCTCATTGCGCTGAGTGATTTCATTTGTCACAGTTGGCAAAGACTACAGGAGGTGGCATCCTGCTACATAGCGCAACGAGAAAACCCAAGTTAGCAGGGATATTCACGGAGTGAACCTCGACTGTCGCACAATCAGTAGCGCGGTTTAGAAAGCCGCCTGAACTAAGGCCGCATATCTGAGCTCCATCCGCCGGTATATTCAAAATTCTCAAATGTGCAACGCAGTGTTACTAACGGAGAACTTTAGAGACGCTCTGGCAAAATAATCGGTCGTAGACGCGCCCCTAATATGAACTATCGATCGGGAGTGCCAATGGAAGTGAACCATTGCTCGGCGGCCTCATTGGAAGTAGGGGGCGTAGAAATATGACTGGTTAGAAGCAAACTTGTCATAAGAGATAGAAACCTAATATGAAGGGGGTTTTCTTCAGTAGAAAACAAATGAATGCCTTATTTGACTCCTTTGCATCACAAGTTGGAAATGTAGTGCTATCCTCCCTCACGAGAGGGTCATAACACTAAGGACATGTATGAAACAAACATTGAACAGATAAAAGAAGCTGCCTGCTTGCCTGGAAGTTAGAGCGGATCCGTTCGGGATTAGAGCTCTTGGGAATGATACAGATGCCGCGTTGAATAGCATGACGAATGAGAACTTGGGCGGGTGTTTTGCCATGCGCGTCGGCTATCGCCTTCACGTAGGGCTCGGTGAGTGGCGAAGGAGCCGATCTGGTGGTCGGGGCATATAGTCGATTAAGGTTATTTTTGAAACGGAGGTTAACAGAAGGCTTCCATTTCCAGATATTCTTATAAAACGTAAGACTGAAAGGTCACTGCATAGATCATTTAATTACAAAGGGTGGTAGTCCGTGGTCCTCCCACAACATGACGGTTTGACCGTCGTTTCCGACGATGCCCACAACACGTCCGATAATGAAGCGGATACAGGAACGGTGACTCGTACGTGAATTTATTTATAGTGATAGTGATATAGTGATGCACCTACCACACTCCTCCTCGCCTATGTGGGTCTGATGTAAAGAAAAAGTCTACAAAATCAGAAGCAGGATCTGGCGAAGGCGGTTCGCACGGCGTGAACCTACGCCCAGCCGAGCCGCAACCTTCCCTAACTCACGCACCTTGACATCACGCATCGATTTGATCGGTCGCTTGTGAATTCATCGCACCACATACACAAAAATAGCAGCAAATGCAATTTTGCCAAGATCGACTGCCTGCTCACGTATTTTAGATCTCCCAATTAGAACCGCTAAAAATGAAGAGCAGCCTTGACAAAAAGTGGACGATAATCTCTCGTAAAGGTTGTGATAGTTCTACATATCCAAAGAAAGCCGTAAACCTACCCTCGAGGGTCCTAACGGCAACTAAGGAAAACGTGCTGTGCAAAGGAATGGAGTACAATCCCTCCGACTCCAATTACCTGGACTTCCTTGCCAGCTTCGGTTTAATCATATCATCAACAAATCTTACAAAAGAGGAGCAATTCACCATTCGCAACCGCACTGTACCGGCCCTGAAGAACCGCAACATGTTCTCAACGTTATCTTACGATGAAACGAAAGCACTAAAATAAGGCAAAGACCGCATCATTCTACCTGCCGACAAAGGAGGTGCCACCCACATTCTGAACAAAACGGACTACACAGAGAAAATGATGTCACTCTTAGATTAGGACTTGTTATGACCCGAAAGGAAGGTGGAACAGTGTGGGTTCGGAGGAAGGAACTACACAGACAGCCTGCGAACACGAAGGGTTTACAACTCTTCGCAAGACGCCTTATTTATGCCGGCCCCTGTGAGTTCTGGTACATTCTGCCCAGCCGTTGAGGGCGTTCTCGTACGTTCTTGCCTATGGCGTGCCGGTTGAGGATTGGCCATCGCGTGTCCGAGATTCCCCCCCCCCTCGCTCCGCCGAAAAGTCTGGAATGTTCGACCGGCCAATGATTGGGCCGCAGGCGTGAGCAAAGCCACCACACGCGCTTGGCGCTGCTGTGCACGTCGGTCGGCCGTCTAACTTCACGCGTGTCTCACGCCGCCGGGCTTGGTTCTCTGTTCAGTGCGTGGTCGAGTCTTCCTTTAGCCTTTCGCCTTGACTTCGAGCTGGCTTACACTCTCCATAACATGATTCAACATACGGACCTCTAGCTACCAACCCCATAAAATCGCAGAACTCATGCACTGAAAAAAAAACACGGAAACGCCTTACAGGAAGGGACTTAATCTCGGTAGTTATTGCCAAGTCTTTAAAGCAGGATGAGCCAACAATTGCTAAGATATATAGTCTTCCTAAGGTCAACAAAACTGACATTCTGCTACGATCGATAGTCTCCCTAATCGGAACATCCAACTATAAGATCTCAAAGTGGCTATTTTCCCAACTACATCCACTTATGAAGAACTCCGAAAACTCCAATGAGGATTACGAAGAGTTTCTAGACCAATTAAAAGGAGTCAGCGTTACATGTGACGAGATAATGGTATCATTCGATTTGGTTTCGCTCTTCACCTCTATTCCGCTAGATTTATCGAGTAGCTGAACCAAAGAGCTCCTTAAAACATACATTTCTGAGGTACCTGCCGGCGCCTCTATTTGAAAACGAACTTTTCCCTATCCAAACAATGCTACCGGCAATTAAAAGGCGCTCCCATGGATTCACTCATATCCGGTTTTCTCGCAGAGGCCGTAGTGCAGAAATTGGAAACCATGGCTTTTCCCGCAGTTAACCCAAAACTCTGGCTACGCTACGTAGATGACACTTTTGTCATTGTCACGAAAAATCAAGTAAATCTGTTCCATATCAATGTTAACTCTATATTTCCAGGAATCAAGCTGACTTTCGAAACGGAAAGTGATGAAGAACTTCCATTCCTGGATGTCCTCCTACGTCGAAAGACTGATGGATCACTTCATACATCAGTTTATCGCAAAGGGGCATATTCAGAGGTCATCCTACACTTTGAGGTCTTTCACAAACGGGGTACAGTCTGCAGCCTTCGGAATCGATCAAAAACTCACTGCCATGATCAAACAAGTCATCAAGCAAAGACGAAATACTTCTACAAACTATTTTCCCAAAATTGGTACCCGCATGACTTTATACATCAACACCTGGGAGACCAACAACTCAAGGAAAAAGGTATTTCTAACGCTACAAGAAATTTAGTTCAACTCGATGGCCTTCTTTGTAAGGGTAGTGACTTTTTGCTCGATTAAGCAGGCTGTTGACAGCACTTAGTTCGCGAGAGATTGGCAGATTGCTCTCATAAGGTAGAATGACTTTCGCATAAGCGTCCTCTCGGTAAACCAATGTGCGTGGTATGCCGTCGGTTTTCCGTTGTACGAGAACTTCCAGAAACGGGTGTTTTCTATCGAGTTCCTTTTCGGGTGTGAATGTAGCCCCCGGAATTGTTCAGTTTATAGTGTTGTGGAGCCCTTAAGAGAGCAGTCAGCCAATATTTCACAAGCGGAGTGCTGTCAACAGTCTGTTTACTCGCGCAAAGACACATTGCTCTGACGAAGAAGGCTACCGAATTGAACTAAATTTATTATGTGAACTGTTTTCGAAGAATGGATACTCTAGAGATTGCGTACGCCGGTGCATGAGGCAGAAAGAGTCGAAGAGAAAGGAACCAGGTAAGCCGAATCGGACATCCGCACCAAACACTTGGCGAACCCTTCCTTACATTAAACATTTTTCAGTTTCAGTTTTCTTTGAGAGAAATGCAGGTCTTCACCTTTGAACTCCCTGTTTGTTTATAAGCAACTTATACATCTCGAAAATTGGAAAAGGTATCATAAAGGTAACAAATAAGCGGAAAAGCGTCAACTCTGTACGGATAGACGAACTGCCTCGAGTGTTAACGGTACGAGCAGTAGTATAGTAGTCGTGTAGAGTGCAGTAAAAGAAATAATATCCCAAGTGACAAAAATTGCATAAATACATGCCAGTAAGCGTAGGCGGTGGATTCGAGACAATAAGAAATGCAATTAGAAATGTTATTGACAGGTGTCTGAACTCGTTTAAAGACACCTAAGACAGCACCAAATTCGTAGGATTTACAGAAACACTGGGAGATTTGGAATGGGGATGCCTAAATTCGCACTTGCTGGCCTAGAGAAATGAATTATGAGACGGTGATGACCTGTAACAATGGAGATTCCATGTAATAAGAACTTAGCATAACCGCATTCAGAGCCAGTACTTAAATTCGAGTTGTTGTCGCAGACGAAGACGATGATGATGATGATGATGGTGGTGGTGGTGGTGGTGGTGGTGATGATGATGATGATGATGATGATGATGATGATGATGATGATGATGATGATGATGATGATGATGATGATGATGATGATGATGATGATGATGATGATGATGATGATGATGATGATGATGATGATGATGATGATGATGATGATGATGATGGCTATGATGATGATGAGGGGGAGGATGATGAGGAGGGGACGTAAAATGGTGTTACTGATGGGAAAAATAAAGAGAGAAGCATGGGTAGGGGAATAGCGGGCAACTTGAGAAATAATGAAGATTACAAAGGACCGAAATAAAGCGCCCTAACGGATATACAACAATTGTCCACACCTCAACAGAGAGGCAGAAAGTTAATCAGCTCGACCAAAGCTGAGCAAATGAGGAAATGCTTACGTCATCAAGGAAGGCGACCCGAAAGGAGCATAAGCCGTCACCTGGAGACCGACAGACTTGGCGTATTGAACCAGCTTTTCGTTCAGAAAGTTCACGCTTATCTCAACTTGCAGCATCACCGGCTTAATGCGGCAGATCTTGAGGATGCGTTCAATCTGAGACTTGTTGAAATTCGATATACCAATGGACTTTGCCAACCCAGCATCAACCAGCGACTCCATTTCCTGCACACGAGGGAAGGAGATAGTTAAGGATTTATAAAATGCTTAATGCCGAGAAAAAAAATCGTAAATATTTCATTCGTTCTGTGACTATGTGACGGTCATGGGCGGGACAATGGAATTGCAGAGTCGTGTAATGAAAAACAGGTGGTAGCGGCAACTTTAAGTATGCATAGAGGTTATTAGTAACATGCCTACATACCGTGAATCTTTTAATGCAACCCCCCAAAAACAAACCAACGCGGTAACCCAGTGTTTAATCATACTGGAAGAATGTAAGTGTCAACTACGAAGGGTGGCCTTTGAACCCAGGTACAAAGTAGGCGCTCGACATCTGAGGTAGCGTACGTGCATTAGAACGCAAAATATGCGCACGTCAGGTTTGGCAGAACATTAGCAGTACTTGAGAGGCCGAAGTGAGAACCATGAAAGCTTTCCTAAAACAGCAGTTGCAGGGCACTGTGAGTGGAGAAACCCTTGTTATTCATACTGATAGATCCTCCAAATCGAATTTTCTGCAAATTACCCAGGGCGACGGATTATTTTGGGATGGCAAGTTGGAAGGCTAGGAAGGAAAGTACCACGACTATCTCCAGAAAAATTCAAAAATCCGAAGAGTACTAGTGGCAAAAACTTGTAGCAAATCGTGCTGGGTTTGGGCAATTAAGGCGCATTGGCGACCATGTCATTCAACCAAGTGATTGTCTCACGAAATACGATCCACATCTGCGGCAGTGTGAATGTCGGTATCAACGGTGTACGACCAAAGGTAATTGTGATGGCATGTCTCCAATATTCATGGATGTCCACATAACCAAGCCAAATTCAACATGGACACAAGCAGGCGAATGCTAATGAAAGCTAACGCAGTCCGACTTGACACACTTGGCGCAGGTAGTAGAAAAAGAACGGTTGGAAATTAGTTCCTTTATAACGTAGACCGACGAACTCACTGCCAGCGGGTCGACAGTGCCCCAGTAGATTCTGTGGAAGCAAACTCCATGCTTCTTCTGGGCGTCAAAAAGTTAGAGCAGTCTTCGTCTTCTTCCTGCCAACTGCTAGTAAGTAATGGTGGCTGGCATGTCAGTAAGGCAACGGTTTAGGTCAAACAGTTTACCTAGAAACCTACCTTCCAGGTGTTTTCAATGGGGGTGTAATCGAAGATCCGCTTGCCGGTGGCATCATCGGGGAAGAACTCCTTGCCTGGCTGCAGAGAACGGAAACCAAAAACCGCGTTAAAAAGTCAACTTGAAACAGTCTGAGCAACAGTCAAACTCATGTAAACACGGGCTACCCCTACGTCCAATCTTGGATATGGGGACTCTGCCCTATCACACCATTACAAAATGGTTGGTGGAAAAAGTAAAACCGCTGCAAAGTCACTTGCACCTTCGAAGTATGAAGGACTCCTTTGAGTTTGTCGAAGCTGTCAAGAATATTAACAATGACGGATGGAGAATGTTATCTTTAGATGTATCATCACTGTTTACTAACGTACTGTGGCAGAAACGGTAAACTACTTCTATGACGTTAACCGCGATACGAACTACCCGTAAGGCGTGCCGGTGTAAATGTTAAAAGAACTGCTGACACGCTGCACACAAACTGTTCAGATTCTCTGCAATAGTCAACTATGCTGGCAAATAGACAGCGTGGCGATGGGCTCACGGCTTGGTCCGTTCCTCGCAGATGTTTTCATGGGCAAAGTCGGGAAGACGAGGCTGTAAGATACGGTAACGGTAGGGTGTTGGACCCCACGTAGCTGGCAACCCTAACATGTATATTAAAGTTCCGTGTGACTGCCAGCATCACTCATTATTCACCGTTCTTATTGGTTGAAATTTCCCTGGCTTCCTGACTGAATTTAGGCGTGCCAGCGGCGGTTTATTCAAAATCCGTAACTTTTTGAAAATTGCTTTTTGCTTATTTTTTTAATTACCACGCTTAATTTCGGCGCCACGCGACAGTGTACGACAAAACGTCCGACGAAAATGAAATTATTTTCTGTCCGGCTGCCTTCTGTCCTGACGTAATTACCCCCCCCCCTCCCCATTTAGATCTCTGGTAACGGCAGGGTGTAAGACACCACGTAGTTGGCAACTCCAACATGTATACTAAAGTTCCATGTGACTGCCAACATCACTCATTATTCACCGTTCTTATTGGTTGAAATTTCCCTGGCTTCCTGACTGAATTTAGGCGTGCCAGCGGCGGTTTATTCAAAATCCGCAATTTTTTGAAAATTGCTTTTTGCTTATTTTTTCAATTAGCACGCTTAATTTCGTCGCCATACGACAGCGGAAGACAAAACGTCCGAGGAAAATTTAATTATTTTCTGTCCAGCTGCCTCCTGTCCTGACATAATTACCACCCATCTCTGGTAACGGTAGGGTGTAGGACCCCACGCAGCTGGCAACTCCAACATGTACACTAAAGTTCCGTGTGACTGCAAACATTACTTATTATTCACTGTTCCTATTGGTTGAAATTTCCCTGGCTTCCTGACTGAATGTAAGCCTGCCAGCGGGGGTTTATTCAAAATCCGTAACTTTTTGAAAATTGTTTTTTCGGCTATTTTTTAGTTACCGCACGCGTTTTCTTGGCCATATGACAGCATACGACAAGACTTTCGGCAGAAATTCATCTTCTGTGTCTTCTTGCATTCCGCCTACTCTTCGTCCCGCGTGCTGTCCCACTCGTAAACCCCCTTTACTACCATTCAATGTATGACACGGTCCACAGGCTACCTAAAGTTAGTTGGGGTCCCACACCCTACAGCTGTCTAAGATATTATTAGCGGCTTCGATTTCTACGGTCAGTACATGGGCGATATAATACGACACACAGGTTTTATTGCCGACACCGACGCCCTGGTCCAGAATTTTACCAGTGCGCACCCCTCGCTAAAGTCTTCTGCAGAGTTTGAGGCAGGAAACGAACTTGCGCTCCCCGATGTCATGCTGGACAGACAAGAGGATGAACCCATCCAGCGCAAGGTATTCCGAAAGAAGACCTGGACAGGACAGTACATTAATTTTCACAGTTTTGTTCCCCAAGATATTAAACGCAATTTGGTCCAGGGACTGCCAGCTAGAGTGCGGCGCATCTGTTCACCTGAAATTGAGGCAGAACTCCAGCAGCTGCGGAACATCGCGAAAACGGATACCCGGAGAGCTTTGTCCTCCGAAATATTGGGGGCGCACTGCAAAGCCTACCGCGGCAGTTGCCGAAAAGAAATCCTAGGGGACACAGCAGGCGAACTAGCAGGACGACCTCTAAAGACAACAATCATGAGAGCATTCCCCGCGGCGAATTTACGCGTATGTTTCACAAACTCTCACCTCCTATGCTTTGGAGGTAACGACCAACTACCGTTGCAGGCCACATCGATGTGCATCTACTCATTTACTTGCTCCTGTGGGGCGGGATACATTGGCCGTACAACGAGACGCCTGGTAAAGAGGGTAAGTGAACGCACACCGGCCTGGCTAGACAGAGTAGAAAACAGATTGACTTCGAGTTGTATTCTGGTACATCTGGTCAATACAAATCACCGAGCCGACGCCAAAGAAGCCTTTCGGATTGTCTATCGGACACCAATAAACTTCTTTAAAGGCTAGCTACAGCCGAGGCAGTGGCTATACGGCTAGCGAATCCAGTGCTATGTTGTCACAGGCGTTGACACAGGCGTTATGCCCTCTGTGGCCAACGCCGACCCAATGTGGTTATCGCGCGTAGCCCCAAACCCTTGATGACAGTGATGTGTACTCCACGTACTCGACTTACAAACATCACTCAGAGCCCATGTCATCCCCCCCCCTTGCCTCAATGACCATAACACGTCGACCTCGTCATGCGGGTGGCGTGGGAACGATGGGCGTTAATAACCCCTAAGACACTTATAATCCCTACGAACGTCTCATATTTTCAATTTCTATGTAATTGTATTGGCCTGAGAATGAATTACCGAAAACACATATCTGCCAACTTGACTTTTCGTGTAAAGGGGTAAAGCCGTGCCAATACTCTGAAATCCATTTAGAAGTTATGAAAACACCAACCGCAACCACTAAACAGAAAAATACGATTTTCGAGTTTAATCAGGTACTATCAGTCATGATCGGGTCAATAAAGGTTAATTTAGAACGTTTGATAACGGAGATGGGGACAGACTGACATATAACGGCTCCGGACTTATTCTGCTCTCATTCAGGAAATACAGCCCTGCCCACCTTTTGAGCCAAGTCAATATTTGCCTGTTTGTGATCTCAACAAACCGCTGGGCACTTACCGCTTCAGTAAGCCAAAGAAACGGCGCCTAACCATTTCTGTAGGAAGGATTAATTTTTAAGGTATTCCGGACACATGAGGATGACGTCCATGCACACGTATATATTGAAACGAATATCCAAAGTAAAGGTAAGGGTGATTCAGTGGCAAAAAGCGCGACGCAGATGTATGAAGCGCTGAACCAAGTGTGCATAGTTTCTATAGAAACGGACCCCATCTCACCTGTAGGTTACAGGTTAAATCATGAATGAAGAGTCGAATTACCAGAATTAATTTTTAAACGCCGTGTAGCGTGAAACATGTCAGTGCGCTACATTCGTTTCAACAAGAGCAACACCGACAGTCCAGCCGTCGTTGTCGACGATGCCCACCGTTTGCTCCACGGAAAGTTGGGAGCAGGGAGGGTGACTTGTGCGTGAATTCGTTTATAGTGGTAGTGGTTTTGCACAGCGTCTACCGCACTCTCTCCTCCACCTGGATCCGGTGTCAAGACATAGTCAAGAAGACCAGAGGCGGGGGAGTGCGCAGGTGGATGGCACGGTCGCGCCCGCACCTTGGTGCTCCACTCCACACCCCTTGGTCCACACAGCAATGACCAGGATTTTGGCCAACAACAACAATGGGGAGGGCCGCAGGGTTCCCGGTGTGCGCAACGTCTGCCGGCAACCGGGTCTGCCATCGCACCCCCGACATGTTGGCGTTTGTTATGGTGCGCATTCCGATAACGCCTGCCAGGATCCAATATGGCCCCCATGCTGGTCCAGCACACCTACCACATGGTCCATTTGTGGGGCATACAGGAACAACAACACAGGCGAACACTGCACTTCACACAACATTTGTAAGCTACCGACGGCAATAAACGGTTCAGTATAAATTCCCGACGAACCCGTTCTCTCCGCAGGAATTTACATCAGAAAACTCTCCGGGTTTCGCGCACACTGCACGGATGCAGATGGTCAGCAGGGGGAAGCAGCGCCTTTGACTACCAGTCAAAAATTTACAATATAACATTCGGACTATCGCAGGCACCTGCTGTGGACTGGCGCGATACTGCACAATTTCGGAGAAAAGTTGAACACTGATTAGTGTGTTTATAAATGCTAACTTACTTCGCTCTCATCGCACGGTGCCGGACTTAGCACAGCAACAATGCGGTAGCTATCACGTGCTAAAGTTCGACTAGCAGTGACGGGCACGACTTACGTGCTGTCGCTGGGAGGAGGACTGGGCGTAAGGCATACAGCTGCTGTGGACTGGCATTATGAAGAAGACAAATCGACAGCCAATTATCATTTAAAAATTCTTTCTTTCTTCGTGTTCGACGCACAGTTTCGGACTTAGTTCAGCAACGATTCGGCGGATCTCACGTATGAAAGTTCGATTGGCAATGGCAGAAGTAGTTGCGAGGGAATTCGCCCTTCCAGTTATTGCGACTCTTAGAAGTAACGGTTTCTAAGGTATAGACGATCGTATGTGGAAACAGGCGTGGAAATGTACGAACGCACAAATGCCAAGACAAAGTCGGAATGAACACGACATTTGCGTTCGACCATATTTTTGTTCAAGACATAACTTCATTTAAATATAGCCCTTCGTTAGAAAAAAGTGAGTGCCTTCCCCGAAATATAATAAATATACGGCTTGAATAGTCAAAGGTGGACTTAGGCCAATAGATAAAGCACTTTGCTGCAATTAAGAAGCGCCAAGGGTCAAAATGCACTCTCAACTCAATCCACCAGTGTCGAAAGGACATTATGAACTAAGGCTCACCATGCATCCAACTCAGATCCCTATAGTGATCAACGAGTTTGGGGTGACAAACAGATTGCCTATGTTACACGGACTGAATAACAATAATCAATCCCTGAAAGTTAACCCTGCGTTACAACAATCGGAAACGAAGTCAATCTAGTTTCCTTAAGCAACACTGTTGGGAAGAACACCAAAAACGCATTCTATCCTGCTTACAGGATGAGGAAAGAGCGCACCACAGCCGAGAAGGCGAAATATTACTGCAGAAGTCTGTTAACTCACCCCGAAAGCAACCGGCCAATGCATGAGGTACAAATCCACATATGAAAGTCCCAGCTTTTTAAGACTCTCTTCACACGCCGGCCTCACATCTTCAACTCGGTGCGCCGTGTTCCATAGCTAGCGGGACAGTATAAAAGCAGGAGCATTTGCAGTACCTTGGTTGTGATGAAAACCTCTTCGCGTTTCACTTCGCCAGAATTGAACTTCTGGGTCAGAACCTGGCCGATCTCTTCCTCATTGCCGTAGAGGGCTGCGCAGTCGATATGTCGGTAACCGGCATCGAGAGCAGCGGAGACCGCAGCGCCCACCTCGTTTGGATCCGCCTTTGAAAGAGTAGTTCAAAACGGGTTAACAGAGGTTTCGTTACCCTGAATGTACCAAGACCAAGAACAGGTACTTTCAGCCCATTGTTGAATGTCAGGCAGGGAGCAGACTTCGACATCGCGACAGGCAGGGACAGCAGCTCCACGCACAACACTGAATGCCTTCAAATTGAACCAGCCTGAAAACACCACAATGCGTGGATTCATGTTTGCGCCTGATTGGTTTGCGCATGCGTATCAATATCGTTTTAGACATGCCTAGTGTTCTGATTGGTTGGCCAGCCAGTTAGTCACGTGCTCATTGGTTGGATGATGCACCAATTGTTTCGGCGTTGGCGTGACTTCCCCTGCATGCGCCGTTGTTTGTGCGTATTGCGGCGATGACTTCTGCGGCGGACTGTTCGCTGTTGTGCAAGGCCACATTGGCGGAAGGCATGCGTTTGCGGTCTGCGTCGAGTCCGTGCGGACCTGTAACATACCTAACTATAACGAAGGCTAGGAATGCTAAGCATATAGCCTCTTTTAGTTCTGAGTGAAAAGAAAAGACGGGTTTCTAAGGGGAGGTTGGGGACAATTTATGTCGATGAAAAGAAGGGTTGGAGCTCAGGCAGGATCGGGAACACGTGGTTGTTCTATGGCAGGGGCAGGCTGGTTTGGAGGCAAGCCTTGTCGGGTCCGAGCAGCAGAGGCGGTGCAGGAGCGGCGATGGCGTCCAGAAGGCGTCCTTCGGTCCACGGTGCCCGGACATCAACTGTCCTCGTTATTTACGGGGCCTCCAGACGATGCGGGTAGGTTTAATGACTAGACCAATAGACAAGAGAAATCGTGGCAGTGAAAGGTAGGATAGCGCAGAGGATTAGCCGCTAGGGTGATCGGGGCCGCAAACTGCCATATATGACAGTCGTGCAATGGCCAATAGGATTAAAGTTGGGAGTTGGCTAGCGCGGCGTCGTGGCCTTGGCAGATAATCGCCAGCGCGCTAGGAGTCTAGCACGATTAAGCCACACTCCTATAGGCCCTTACCTATTGCCGTACACACAAATCAGACGCGCCACGCCTAATATCATCACCTATTGGTCGAAAAGTCGGACAGTCCACTAATATATGCGTGCGGAAGAAATAGTGCAGCTCCAGAGAATAATCAAGTGAATACTTTCAAAAATTACTCGGTGCGGGACATGGAGTTAAATCTTCGGGACATGACTTTTTACATATATATATTGAAAAACAGGCATCCCATAAAATACAATTAGAAAGGTGAAGTTCTTTGGGAAACGGCAAAATTTTATTGTGAATTTTCGAGACTGGTTCCCCAGCTCGTCTTCAGACAAAGGGTGTGCAAAAACAATTAACTTTTAGACTGAGTCTGGCAAAAGGATTCCATGATTGGTTAAGGTCGCCATCTCGGGATTGGTTGACTCAGTTTGAATCTGTCCTTAACGATTTTGTATGTGGCGTCTAAATCGATATGCCGGTTGATGCATGCCTCATCTGAGTGCATTGCCTCCAGGAATTCGCGGCCTTTCCTTGTTTTGCAGGCGCCAACAATGCGAGTGTTTTCCCATGCGAATTTATGCTCAGTGTCCAGTGTGTGCATGGCCACCTGGGATTGATGGTCGCGTCTCTTCACCGCTAACTGATGCTCATGTATACGGGTTGAGACAGATTTCCCAGTTTGGCCACAATAAACGGCATCACAACTAGAACATGGGATTTTGTAGACCACACCTTTTCTTTCGAGGTAGCCGACCCTGTCCTTAGGGTGTACAAGCTGTGTGCGTAAGGTAGTTGCCGGCTGGTGGGCTACGTGTATCTGGTACTTTTTCAATTGTCTTTCGACAAGTTCAGATACATTTTTGACGTATGGGAGAATTCGCCATGTGGTTGGTTTTGGTGCCTGAGCGGCCGTAGCATTGGATATACCTTTTCCCTGAGTTGATGGTGCCTCATGCACTGATGTATAAAGTCATGCGGGTACGCATTTTGGGAGAACATTTTGTCGAGGTATTTCATTTCTGCCCGATAACTTGTTTCGTCAGAGCAGCGGGTTTTGGCTCGATTCAGAAGGCTGTAGACTGTGCTCCGTTTGTGAGAGACAGGGTGGTTGCTCTCAAAGTGTAGGATGACCTCTGAATACGCCTCTTTGCGATAAACTGATGTCTGAAGTGATCCATCGGTTTTTCGACGTACAAGGACATCCAGGAATGGGAGTTGTCCATCGACCTCTGTTTCCAAAGTAAATATAATTCCTGAAAATATGGAGTTAATATTGGTGTGGAGCAGATTCAACTGATCTTTCTTGACGATGACAAAAGTGTATCTACGTATCGAGGTGATACCGACAAATACAAGGAGGACCGGAATGGCCATTTCTGGCTTATTGGCCGTCATCAGTCAGTCATACCCAATCCCGAAGAGTGGCACACCCGAGGCTCGAACTCGCGACCTGTTTGTTAGAAGTCCACGCCTCTAACCACTGAGACACGATCCCGTTGCCCTGTCTGTTTTCGATCGGGAATATACCATGTTAGGGGGCGCTCACCGATCGTTCATACAGAACTCACTCGTTCCGTTGTGCCTTAAGGGCTCTCTCTCGAGCCCAACCAGCAGCCGCACAGCGGCGCATGATATAGGCAGATTGTTATTACCGACAAAGACAACGGAGACTGCAATGGCTAGTTCTGGCTTATTAGCCGTCGTCAGCCTCTCTTACGCGCCGCTGTGCGGCTGCTGGTTGGGGTCGTGAAAGATAGCCCTAACGCACAACGGGACGAGTAAGTCCCGTAACACGATGGGTGAGCGCCCCTCTACGAGAATGACATATTTTTTCCGTGTTTGGTAAACCCTGTTTTAGCCCCAGTTATAGAGGACTTGACTGTTGAACCTGGGTACAGCTGGCCATTACAATGAAACCTGTGCTGTTTGGTGCTCAGATCCACGGAAGGGAAGGAAAAACTACAATTATTAGTGTTTACCGATCTCCACGACTGGATATGGACGTTCGGTTTTGCATTGGCGATCCGGCCTAGGACCCTCGCACGGGTGGCATGTTTACAAAAAAACAATAAAAGTACCCCTATGACCTCAGCACGGCATTATGCCTGAAAGCATTCGTGATTACTTCTGGTGTGATCCACTCCACTCATAGGTAACGGGGGCGATTAGATTACTTTTCTTTGGTCGCTGATGTGTCCTGCAGTATAAACCAAAATTCGTGAAGCATTAACCTCCATTTTAACTGTGTCCTCTGATAAAATTGTCTGCATAATTTAGGTCACAACACGGAAGCCCATACGTTGAAAAAGGTGGACTTTTGGATGAACATCTGTCTGGTCACTTGTGTAGAAAACGGTATTGCGTAAGATATAACCTCCGACTCACTCGTGGCCCTCAGAACGGATGCACAAAACAACCCACTTTTTGTAGATGCAGGCGTCATCTTTTATATCCTGCATACGGAAGAAGATGTTTCAGCTTTTAAAACGGTTTTTAGGGTAAGGGTAGGGCATGTAAACCCCTGGGTTGTTGCCCAAAAGCCTACCTTCTAATCGTACTTAGTTAGGTGCCGTGATAGGGATTCTGTAGGAAGCTGATTTTGACCTCCGATAGCGTTGGCGACATTAAAGTTGCCCACTTGGGACTCAAGATTAGGTTTTGGGCAGCGGTTACAATTGGTGCTAATTGGGTTATTCTTGGGATTGGTGTTACCTGGCTTGGGCTGTGATTTGGATCTGGGGTTGGTGTTTTAGGGCTTGATTTACGTCTACCATTAAGTCCGATTTTTCATTAAATGCTTACGGGTTAAGGACTTCACACTGAAGGCATGACCCTGGTTGGCCCTAGGTTTGTGGCTAACTAAGGTCCCCCAAGGGGGTTACATGCCATATCCTTGCCCGTTTCCAGTTATGGGAAATTTTAAATGCTCGCAAATTACTTCTGGTAGTTTGTCATTCGTAAGTAATTTCGTGTTTTTTCAAGCCGAACTTGGTCCAGATGTCGACGCACAATTCTCCCACCTTCAAACTCTAATTCCACTATTTGACCCTCGCTTTTTCGAACTACCGCTGGACACCAGTTCGTTTCGTGTTCCAGTCGCGTGTAGACACTTTCGTTGGGCGCGACGACTCGTGGTCGGGTGCTCACATCATATCGTTCTTTCATCTTCGTCTGTTTTGCAATGACCCTATCCTGCGTTGATGGATTAAGCAGGTCGAGTCGTGTGCGCAACTGCCGCTTGAACATCAATTCTGCAGGCGAAGCACCCGTTGAGTCGTTTGGTGTTATGCGATAGCTGAACAGAAAGCGTGACAACTTGGTGGCCAAGTCCGCTTCTGTCTGTCTGGCTAGTCCGTGCTTTATTGTCTGGACTGCACGCTCTGCGAGGCCATTTGAAGCAGCGTGGTACGGGGCAGTAGTTAAATGTCTAATTCCATTTTTCTCCATGAAATCTTTAAATTCTGCACTAGTAAAGGCCGGGCCATTGTCTGAAACGACCATTTCAGGTATCCCAAAAGTAGAAAAGGCGGTTCGCAACTTGTTGATTGTAGTCAGTGAGGAACAAGAATTTCCTGTCGGAATCGCATCAATCCATTTAGTGTGGGCGTCAACTACCACCAAAACCATATGGCCTTGGAATGGCCCAAAATAATCGACGTGTACCCTCTTCCACGGCGAGTCGGGCCAGGCCCAAGGCTTCAGAGGAACCTTCGGTAAGGTCTTCTGTGTTATTTGGCACACGTGACATGCTTTCACCACGTTTTCTATATCTGCGTCAATTTTGGACCACCAAACATAGCTGCGGGCGAGAGCTTTCATTCTAACTGTACCAGGATGTGCATTATGCAGGTCTCTGAGGATGGCCCGTCGGCCTTGTGGTGGCACAACTACACGATTGCCCCATAGTATGCATCCGTCTTGTAGACTTAACTCGTTCTGACGGCTGAAGAATGGTTGAAAATCAGAGGAGGTAGAGGACGGCCAGCCAGATTGTAAGGCTCTTTTTACCCGACTTAGGAGAGGGTCTCTCGATGTCCACTGTCGAATTTGTTGACAGGTTACAGGCGCGTTGACTAGATTCTGCAAAAGATTCACGGTCTCAAAAACAGGTGCCCCGTTAATG